GCATGAATCAACAACACAACCACTCTAGGCCTCTAAGGAAGGATTTTACACTCTCAACAGACTAAGAAGGGGGAAAGAAATCTTTTTAACTCCATAACTCTTCTCTCTAAGTTTCTTTAATAAATGAACTTATGGAACTCAAATCTCAAAGAAAACTTTATATACATTTCCCTATTAATCCAACTTTTATCTCTATTCAAAAACACGTCTAAACAGTTAAAAATCTTAAGAATTCATAAATTTTCAGAACTCCTCAACATACAAGCAACAAATCAACACAACAACATATATTTTAATATACTTAACAATAATTAATAAAATTGCACAATATTACAAAATCAATATAAAAGAAAGACTAATAACATTATTTGATTGTAAATATAATCATTTATAAGATTTAAAATAAGAATAACATATTATAAAAAGAGAAAACTATTAAAAATGATAAGCTAATATTTTATTTAAAAATAAATAATAATCATCTCTACAAATTATAAAGAAGTATGTAAAATATTTATTAAATTAAAAAGTGTAATTACCTTTTGAAACAAATATTTAAAAAATAAATAAATAACTTATATATATTTATATTTATATTACACATATTAAAAATTTAAAACGAAAAAAAAAAAGTCACGGCTACAAGTAGTTCGTCCATATCCATAGAATTAAAGCAGAAATTTTTTTTTTCTCTAAAAAATAAAATTTAGAATGAAAGTGAGATGTCTGTGTTTTGAGTTTTGACAAGTAAACACACAATTCCGTGCTAATTCCACCATTGACAGTCTTGCTGCTTATCATTAATATACAATAATGAGATAATTCTGCACTTTATGACCACTACAAAAGATCGTAACATCATAATTAGTGATGGAATAAAAATCTGTAATTGTCAATATTTGCAACAAAATTTGTTATCAATTTTAAATAAATAATTAAATAATATCTTATGAATAATGGGACGGACACATATAAGACTCATACGTGTAAATAGTTATATTAAAAAAATATTTAAATTTTTTTTAATCATATATAAAATAATTTAATTTATTTTATTTTCATAATAAATATTACTAATCGTATACGCACACGTACACATATGTATATGTAAGCACACACAAAGAGAGGATAAAGATGAATCCACTTACCAATAATTCATAAATTTAAACATAGATAAATTTACAAATCTTTTAAAAATTTAAATTTTTTTTAATATTCTATTTTATTAATCTTAATCAATGTATAAAATATTTTTATGATTATTGATTAATTTAGATTAATAAAACAGAGTATTAAATAATTTTTAAATTTTTAAAAATTTACAAATTT